CCACTGTTGGTCATTGTGACGTAACTCAGGATTGAATTTTTGGCTTGTTTCCTTTTTACTCTGCCTGTGTTGCTCCACAACTGCCATTCAGGCCTTTTTACTAGTTATAAACAGTTCAGGGCCAGCTGTAGCTATTGTGTGCTGCCATTTGGTTTTAAGTGGAAATTGAGCCTTTAAATTTTGAGGAGATCTGTGTGCATGCGTAGCAGAACCCTTTGGGGGTGGGGATGGGGTTTCCACTCACTCATGCACCCCCTCTAGTCACTAGCATGGAGGTGCCAGGCAGCAAGAAACCAATGACAGATTAAAAACAAAAAACAGCGTCCACACCTTTATCTCCATGGTTCTGTCAGGCGTCCATGGCTGCTCTGATCCTTTCTTCATTCAGTCTCACCCAAGATGGCTGCTCAGGGAGCAGCTGAGCATCTTGGATTAGAAAGCACTGGATTTCTTGGTTTTGCTACAAATTCCACTGGCTATAAGCCTTCCAACTTTCTAAATATTCCTTTATATGTGGTTCTGAGTTCTGGGACCATCCCTTGAACCTACTCGGTCCAGTATTCTGTGTTGTTGCTGATAGAGATCCTCACTTCCCTTCTACATGATCCTTCATCTTGTTTGTTCTCCCCATATTCTTTTGATGGTTTTTGTTTTACTCAAAATTTTTCACATAGAATCCTTCAGTTTTGCAACCTGAGGATTGATTTTTTTCTTAAATTCTTTCACCTTGAGAAATGCTGAGTGTGTTATTCTCTTTTGGTTTTCTAACGCCAGGTCTTAGTACATTTCATTATAATACTCGACTTTGTTTTCTCCCGCTGCCCTTTGAAATTTTCTGTTCAGATCTTTTACTTTTTCATTTCTTCCATTTGCTTTAGTTTCTTTACACTTAAGAGCAAGTTTCAAAGTCTCTGCTGACATCCATTTTCTTTTCATTTTAATGACCTTTAACTTTCTTTGTGGATGATGTTATTGATATCATTCCACAACTCTTCTGATCTTCAGTAATTACTGTCCAATGCATGAAATCTGTTCCAATGCAGAATTTAGATGGTTTCTAAATTCTGGTGTGATATATTCAAGGTCATATGTTAGCTTTCCTGGACTTGTTTTAACTTCCTTTGCCTCCAGCCTGAACTTGCATCTGAGCAACTGATGTTCTGTTTCACAACCTTTCCCTGGCTTTGTTTTGTGATATTCAGCTTTTCCACTGTCTCTTTTCACAGATGTAGTCAATTTGATTCCTGTGTTAAAAAAAGAATGTATTTGCAGTGTATAATTCCTTGGTCTTGCAAAAATTCTATCATGCGATCTCCAGCATAATTTCTTTCACCAATAGCCATATTTTCTAACTATTGATCCTTCCTCTTTGTTTCCAACTTTTGCATTCCAATTATCAATGCATCTTGATTGCATGTTTGATCAATTTCAGACTAAAGAAGTTGGCAGAATTCTTCAATGTCACCATTACTGACTTTCGTTGTAGTTCTATAAATTTCAAAACTAGTGCTATTAACTGGTCTTTCTTGTATGTCATTTTTAAGTGCCGTCAAGTTGGTTCCAATTCATAGCAAACCTGTATAGAATTTCTGAGACTGTCAGTCTTTGCAGTACCAGAAAGGCTCATCTTTCTTTCGAGGAGCTGCTGGTGGGCTTGAACCACTGATCTTGTGGTTTGAAGTCCAGTGCTTATTATACATATAGAGCCACCACACACCAGTCCTCCTTTTAGGCATATGGATATTATCTTATCATAGACAGCATTGTACTTTAAGACAGATCTTGAAATGTTCTTTTTGACAATGAATGCAATGTCATTCTTCTTCAACCGGATATACTCTACATTGTTGTTATTGTTGCTAAGTGCAGTCGAGTTGGTTCTGACCCATACTGAACCTTTATAGGGTTTCTGAGGAACGGCTTATGAGCTTGAACCACGGACCTTGCGGATCAAACCGACTTTGCAGTCCAGTGCATTAACCCCCAGCACCACACTAGGACTCCATACTCTGCATAGTAAACCATATAATTGTCTCAAAATGGTCAATCAATACTAGTCCATTTCATCTCATTAATACTTAGAATATTGATCTTATGCATTACATTTCATTTTGACTACTTCTAATTTTTCTAGCATTCCATGTTCTAATTATTAATGGATGCTTGTAGCTGTTTCTTCTCATTTTGAGTTTTGTACAATTAGCAAATGAAAGTCTTCAAAACTTTGCTTCTTTCACACCATTATGGCCAACTCTACTTTGAAGAGGCAGCTCTTTCCCAGTTGTATTTTGATTTCCTTTGACCCAGAGTTGCTCATCTTCTAGCATTATATCTAACAATGTTCTGCTACTATTCAAAAGGTTTGCAGTGGCTAAACATTAGAGGTAGTCTGCCTCGCCTTCTTTCTAATCTATATTAGTCTGAAGGTATGTTGAAAGCTGTCTACCATGGGTGACCCTGCTGGTAGCTTTTAGCATCATAGCAACACGCAAGCCACTACAGTCCTACAAACTGACAGTTAATGGTAGATCTTTTAACATACAGTATTCTAAATTTCCAAATAGACCAAATCCTATAAGTTCTTTTGTTAACTATTTTTAACAATTTGAGCATTTTTTTACCCATAAGAATAATGTTATAAATTTTTATTAGATTCCCAGACTAACCCAGAAAGTCTAGTTCATCCCCATTGTTGTTAAACATAATACTAATGACTGGTCAGGAGGGACCTGTTCCTGGAGAAGGGCATCATGCTTGCTAAAGTGAAGGATCAGTAGCAAAAAGGAAGACCTCCAGCAAGATGGATTGACACAGTAGCAGCAGTGGACTCAAACATAACAATGTTTGTGAAGATGGCATAGGACCAGGCAGTGTTTTGTTCAGTTGTGCATAAGGTCATTATGAGTCAGAACTGACTTGACATGCACCTAACAACAACACCAATGATGTTAATCTAACTTCTGATTTCTGGACTAAGAGGACAAGGATGATGATGATGATGATGATGATGATGATGATGATGATGAAGGAGCTAGAAGAGAAATAGAGGATTTTGTATAGTGGGGAGGAAGGCAGAACAAGTCAAAGAGAAAGATGTGAAAGAGAAGGGCTAGAAGAGAAGGAAATGTTTCCTGTGTTTAGGCCTTTCTCTTAACAAAATTTATGCAATTATTGTTTTGTGTCCTCCAGTCCTAATTTCTGTATCCCCTTCCTCAGAATCCTAATGCTATCATTTGGTCCTAAGATCGTATCCTATCCATGCTTGTCCTACCTGCAAGCTTTAAGCCTCAACTGCCTGTCCACACGTGTGCATGAGCACATACTCTCTCTCAGAACTCCTAGTTCTCAATGCTTCTGTTTTTAGCAAGGTATTTGAAAGATATTAGTTTAAGAGAACTTTATCATTGTGTGGAACTCACAGTCCCAAACCCTCTAAAGTCTATCATTCTCTAGCTAGGGCATTTCTAGGAATGTAAAGGAATGAAGCAGAAACAACAAAAATGAAAATAATGTTTTAAAGTTAAGTCCCTCCTGGGGATTATCCCCTCTGTTTAGCTCTGTAAGCAGTCCCTGTTGTTCACTTCTTTATCCACTTTCAACCTGACATGTGTCCATAGACTCACACTTGCAAATACCTAGCTTGTACATGGCACTCTACATATTTCTGGGCTGAATCATGTTGGTTTTGTGATTTATCTCTCTCTTTCTTTTTTCATTTTTATTATTGTGAACTGAGGGATGACTTACAAAACAGATCATCAGTTTTACATTAATCAATCATGTGTTTCATTTCCTCTCTACTACACTCCCCTCAGTGTAACACCACCTCCTCTCTGTGTTCCTTGTTTCTTTCTATTCTTCCTTCTTTCCCACCCTTCTGAATTTGTCCTTAAGTAAATGCTGCCCTTTTGATCTTGAATGGTTGCACATTCCACAGTGTACAGACCTCACTAGTGTTGTTCCCTATTTACCTGTCTATTGCTTGACTGAAAATTGAGCCCTGAGGGTGAGTTCAGTACCAGATGTGAAGGGTGAACAAAGTCATAGTCTCAAGAGTTTCACCAGCCTATGCCTGACGATGACCATATGCTGGTCTTTTTTTAAATGATTAGGAGCGTTTTCCCACATTTTCTCCCATTCTATCCAAGACCTTCTAATGTTTTTCCTTTTAGCGCAGTTGGTAGTTAGTGGTAGCTGGGCATCATCTAGTTCTTCTGGTCTCAGGGTCATGGACACTGATGTTCATGTGGTCCATAGTCCATTGGACTAACTGTTTCCAAGAATCTTCAGTTTTCATCACATTTCTTTCCTCCACACAGGGAGAAACCAATAGTTGCTTCTTATATGGTTGCTTATGAGCTTTTAAGATCAAAGTTGATATTCACCCAAATAAGATGCATAACACTGTCTTTTTCAACTATGTTATGCCAGTTGACCATGGTGTCCCTCGACACTATGATTCTGAGCCCCTAGGTCCAGTAAATTGCTCTTTTGGCTTCTTTTCATTTTGTCTTTCAAAATAGCTCCCATGATTGGGTGCAAGGCAGATTAGAGAGGGCTGCTTATTTGTGTATGTGGCTATTTTAAGAATGGGGAGCAATGGCCGAAATCAGCTGCTGGTAGACATACATGTATCTTGTGACCTTATTCCCAGATTCCTTGTTCAAATTGTGCATTGTTTGTCAAAGTTCTGGGATTTGGACACAGTCACAATGTTAGTAAATGAAGGTGACAACAAAACTTTTGTTACTTGGAGTTGGGATAGTTTTAAAGTAAGAAAAGTAGGGAAAGTTGCTGGTGATGCTGGCAATGTTTTCAATGCTGTATGACTTTAAGGATGATTCCCTGTTGAAAAGAGCCATATCTATGAATGAGATATACATACATGCTTGCCAGTCTTTGTGCAGATACATGGACTTCTCTTTTGATTCGCTCTCACTACCACTGTGGATGAGTAAGCTCTGCTCTGGTGCAGAGCTTTGCTGCTTGGCTTCTGTGTTGATACGAAGCCTCTTCAGACCCCAAACAGCCAGGTATTCAGTGGGGAGAGTGTTTGTACTGCACAGAGAAAGCTTTAGGTCTTGGACCAGAGTGAAGTTCAAAAGGAGGCCCAATACAGATATATCTGTGAACCAGATGGTGAGATGACCCTGGTAGCTGGTCTGCTCTACTGAGAACAGCAGGACGGTTTTACAGCTGCACATCAGGTTGGCCAAGCTATAGTCACAGTCTTGGATATCTGCAGAGCAGCTACAGTTCCGAATGGTGTTTTCCTTTGTGAAAATCAGAGTACTGTTCTTCTGACCTTTTGTTAAATGAGCAAGTGCAAAGATGATTAAGACACTGATTAGGAGAAGACAGCACCCAGAAGATGATGACATTTTTTTTCAAATCTCAGCGAATGCTGGCATGTTCTCATCTCTCCTTCTTGAGCCTGTTTGTTGAGACTCACCTGAAAGAAAATATGCAACTTTGTTATCACAGCCTTTTATTAGAACCACAAAGCCTGCAGAAAAGGACCACATTGAATAACCCACTCACTGCCATCTGTCAATTTGTTGTACTGAAAAGGGCTATACTGTAAATACAAAAAGAATATAGCAGAGATACAATTTAAATTCCAGTTGGGGGACTGGATAAGGTGGTTTATAGAGTTTTGTGTTTATTTTGAAGTTAGCACACACTTCTTTCAAAGGGTTTATTAATAAGTACACTTTGTAATAAAAGGAAGGGTTTAGAGCAAACGGATAGAGTTCTCCCTAACCAGGAGATTTAGCAGTTTAAAATAGTGTGATTGTAGCTACCCCACTTAGGAATAGTGAATAATTTATTAATTACAAGATAATTTTAGATGCGCAGCCGTCCCAGTTTCCACCAGAGGTTTTTGGGACTGTATGTCCCATGGACCCTGTCATTCTAGAACTAGGAATGTTGCAGTTGGTATACTCTGATGGCAGTTGTATAGGTAAAGTGGAGAAAGATGGTGTAGACATGGGCCTGGAACATTATTTCAGGTGCTCCTTATCATTCAGGAGCATGCATGGAAGAGAAAATGGATGGTAGGGAAAAGGATGTTGATGTCGTGGAATATGTGGGGCTGGAGGCCTCCACAGGTTTATGTGAGCAACTTTGTAATGTTACCACCCTGACTTGACCTCAGGTTGGTGCCAGTCTCCTGGACATCAGAAACTAACACCAAACCAGCTGCTGTTGAGTGGATTCTGGTTCATGGAGACCCCATGAGAGCAGAACTGGATTTCACTAGGTTTTCAGTGTCATGGAACAATGAAATCGGAAGAGTGGAATTTTTCCGTGAATGTTTTGAAGACCCTGTCGCTTTACCATGTCCCTTGCTATGTATGGTCCACCTGTGGGGCTGGAGTGAGGTAGGACTCATGTTAGAACATAGAATACAATTCTCAATGATGGAACTCAAATGATGGGATGCTGAAGAAATGCTGTGTCAGGCCAGGAAGAGTCAGAGGGTGTCCAGCTCATCATGACCCCTGACTCCGCCCACCCCCTGCCTTCACTGCCACCATATCTCCACCATCCTGCGTTTACAATTCTCAAGTCCTTAGCACTCTATGCTCTTTACATAAGAAATTTCCCTTTTCTTTTTCCCATTCAAGAAATATTATTCTACTCAGATATGACTCCCTTTTGGAAGCTTATCATGCTACCTCCCTTCTACCTATCTCCAGAAAAAAAGTACAACTGAAAACCAAGAAAACAATCAAAAAGCCAAACCTACTGCCTTCAACTTGATCCCAACTCAGTGACCCTATAGGATAGTGTAGAAATGCCCCATAGAGCTTCCAAGGTTTTAATCTTTATGGAAACTGACTGCCACATTTTTTTCCCCAAGGAATGACTAATAGGTTTGAATCACCAATGTTTCAGATAGTGGAGTGCTTTAACCACTGTGATACCAGGTCTCACTGGAGATTTAACACATCATACAAATTGTTGTTTTCACACTGTAATGCGATTATTAGTTCAAGTGTATCACCTATCTTCTTGGTTTTATATTCACAGTTTCCAGCCTAAGTACCTAACTCATAGCAAGATCGCAATAAATGTTTATTGAATGAATGAGAAAACATAGTTTATCAAATGTTAGTGTATGAAGACTCTTTAAATTGCTAGTCCCAGGAATTCAATATAGATTGGATTAGCTTGAGTTACAAAACAAAACAAACTGAACATTTGAAAAATCAAGGGAGTGTTTCAGGCATGACCTGATCTAGGTGCACAAAAAGAGGTAGTCAGGAAACGTTCTCCATTTCTTGGCTCTGCTTTCTTCTGTTTTGGCTTCATTCTTAGACAAGTTCCGCCTTTCTAGGAACAAGTTGATCACCAAAAGATTCAGGTTTTCTTTTTTTTACCAGTTGAACAAATCCCAGAGAAAAATGTCTCTCCTTATCAATGTTGTTGTTGTTAGGTGCTGTTGGATTGGTTCTGACTTTTAGCAACCATGTGTACAACAGAACAAAACACTGCCCAGTCCTGTGCCATCTTCATAATTGTCATGTTGGAATCCATTGTTGCTGACAATGTGTTAATCCATCTTGTAGGGGGGATCTTCCTGTTTTTTGTTGATCTTCCACTTTACTAAGTATGATATCCTTCTCAAGGAACTGGTCCCTCCTGACAACATCCAAAGAATGGGACACAGAGACACAGGCTAAATGGGTATGAAAGGAAGAGTGGGATATATGTACATATACATATCTATATCTATCTATATATCTATATCCCACAAATATATAAGAGTTTGAAAGAAGATATTTGTACATGAGTAATCACAGGGAGGAAGTGGGATAACTGTTGTTGCATGGTGGTGGTTATGTGCCGTGGAGTTGGTTCCAACTCATAGTGACTGTGTATAGTGTTTCCAAGGCTGTAAATCTTTACAGGAGCAGAAAGCCTCATCTTTTTTCCGAGGAACAGCTGACCCTGAGTTTAGCAGCCCGACTTGTAACTACTACACTACCAGAGCTCCTCTTGTTGCTTGGAGGAGATTGCAATTATTGAGATGAAACAAAGAATATGATTTGTTAAATGTAAAACTGATGATCTTGTCTGCAAACCTTCATCCAATTCATGATAAAAAACCATAAAAATGCAAATGTATATATAGATATGTACATTATATATATACATAAACATATATATATGTAAGGAGCTCTGGGAGCATGGTGGTTACGAATTGGGCTGCTAACCTCAAGGTTGGCAGTTTGAAACTACCAGCTGTTCTGCAGGAGAAAGATGAGGCTTTCTGCTTCTGTAAAGATTTACAGCCTTAGAAACCCTGTGCAGGGTCACTATGAGTCGGAACCGACTCCACGGTACTTAACAACAATATATATGTATGTATATAAAAAGAATGAGAGACAAAGTCTTGCCATCCTCACCTCCAAGATTTGTTTGTTCTTCTGGCAGTCCAAGGTACTTTCAATATTCTTTTCCAACACCATAACTCAAATGCATCAATTCTTTTCTGGTCTTCCTTATTCATTGCTCAACTTTCACATGCATTTGCAGCGAATGAAAATATCATGGCTTGGGTCAGGTGTACCTTAGTCCTCAAATGGACACATTTGCTCTTAATACTTAAAAAAGGTCTTTTACAGTAGTTTGTTGTTGTTAAGTGCCATAGAATCAGTTTCGACTCATAGCGACCCTGAATAAGGTTTCTGAGGCTTTAAATCTTTTGTGGGAGTAGAAAGACTCACCTTTCTCCCATGGAGTGGCTGGTGAGCTCAAACCACCGATTTTGTGGCTCACAGTCTAGTGCTAATCCTTTGGAATCACCCCAATCCCTGTAACAGGTTAGTCCAATGCAGTATGTCATTTGATTTCTTGACTGCTGTTTCTACGAACATTGATCGTAGATCCAAGCAAAATGAGGTCTTTGATAACTTTAATCTTTTTATCATTTATCATGATATTTATTGACCCAGTTGTGAGGATTTTTGTTTCTCCACATTGAAGTGCAATCCATAGTGAAGTATTGTTCTTCATTAGTAAGCATTCCTCTTCATTTCCAGCAGGCAAGTTTGTTAATGAGTCTTCTTCCAATTGTGCTGCCATGATCTGCTACATGTAATTCAACTTTTTGGATTATTTGTCCAGCATACAGGTTGAAGAAATGTGGTGAAAGGATACAACCCTGACAAACATCTTTTCTGATTATAAACCATTTAGTATCCCTTTGTTCTGTTTGAACAACTCCCTCCTGGTCTATGTACAGGTTCCTCAGGAGCACAATTAAGTGTCTGGAATACCCATTCTACACAATGCTATCCATAGTTTGTTATGATCCTCACATTTAAAAGTCTTTGCATAGTCTATAAAGCATAAGTAAACATTTTTCTGGTATTCTTTGCTTTTAGCCAAGATTACTCTGATTTCAGCAATGATACCCCTTGCTCCACATTCTCTTCTGAATCGGTTCCACTTTCTCTTCTGAATCTAGTTTGAATTTCTGGCAGCTCCCTATTGATGTACTGCTACAACCATTTAAAAAATTATCTTCAGAAAAATTTTATTTGCATGTGATATTAGTGAATAGTTGAATGATTTTTGTATTATATTGGGTCACCTTTCTTTAGAATGTGCACAAATATGGATCTCTTCCAATTGATTGGCTACGTAGCTGTCTTCCAAATTTCTTGGCATAGGTGAGTGAGAGCTTCCAGTGATTTATCAGTTTGTTGAAAGATTTCAATTTATATTAATTCCACCAATTCTGGAGGCTTTTTTTTTTTTGCCAGCTCCTTTAGTGCAGTTTGAACTACTTCCTTCAATACCATGAGTTCTTATCATATGCTACCTCTTGAAATGGTTGAGCATCAATTATTTTTGGTACAGTGCCTTTCTCTGTGTATTCCTTTTATCTTCTTTTGATGTTTCCTGCATTATTCAAAATTCCCCCCATTGTTGTTGTTGTGTGCTGCTGAGTTGGTTCTGACACATAGCAACCCTGTATAGGGTTTCTAAGAATGGCTGGTGGGCTTGAACTGCTAACCTTGTGGTTAGCAGTCCAGTGCTTATCACACTAGGGGTCATTTTGCCCATAGAATACTTCAATATTGCCCTATAGAATCCTTCATTATTGCAACCTAAGGCTTGAATTATTTTCTCCATTTCTTTCAGCTTGATAAATACTGTGTTCTTCCCTTTTGGTTTTCTAACATCAGACCTTTGCACATTTCATTACAATATTTTGCTTTGTCTTCTCAAGTTACCCTTTGATATTTTCTGTTCAGTTTTTTACTTTCTCATTTCTTCCAGTTTCTTTTGCTTCTCTGTGCTGCAGAACAAGTTTCAGAATCCCTTCTGACATTCTTACTGGTATTTTCTTTCCTGGAACCAG